AACTCCCGAACAATCTTCCTTCACAAGAAAGGCGACAGGAAAAATCTTCGGCAACACCGTCTGATATGCCTATTGAGAGAGCTCTGTAAGCTGATCATAAAGGTTTCTCACACGCACACAAGGACATCGGATAAAGCTCAACCTGCAGACAAGCTTTATTTCGCAGGGGATTTAGTTGGGAGGATCACATCCAGAGGGTTATCGAAGTTTGCCGAAAGTACCGTCTACCCTCACTAAGCTTCCTCCACTAATAGAAAGCGCTTGACAGCGTTGAGACTAACGCGACACTGTCAGCGCTCGTTGACTGAAAGTGGATCCATCTTACGCGAGGACATTGACGAACTGTTACAAGAACTGCTCCACGACGGCACACTTTTCCATCGCCCCCTTAGCATACCAATCATAAATAAATTATGAATTAACGAAAGAAGTTACTTCACAAAATGGAAGGCTCTCCAATCGCGGAGGCGTCTTCTTACGTATATTTCGGACGTTTAGTGAACATGGAGAACGAATAAGAATCAAACAGGAGACGAGAAGTAGCTTGCGTCACTTTCGGGCTCCTGAAGAAAACTACAGATCAACTGACAGACCTAGAGTTCCGAGTCCACCTGTTCGATTTAACCCTACTCCCTGCGTTCGGTTACGCAGCAGAGACGGGGCCTCACACTGTGGCTACGTCGAAGGTACTCCAAACAACCCAAACAGCGCTGGAACGACGTCGTCTGAAGTACAATCGAAGCACCCAACATCTCGCCGGACTTCGCAGTTCAGAAATGATATCAATGGCTCGCCTTCGCAAACCAGCGCTACAAATACGCTTCTAGAGCGAAACATTGATGGGCTGGTCATGTAATGAGAAGGACAGACGACAGATGAACACCAAGAACTCTGGAATGGATCTCTCGCGGAGCAAAACGTCCTTGAGGTAGGCCATCGATTAGATGGGCTGACGCATTCTCTGCACGGATGGACCAGCTGAAGTCTCGACTGTTAACGAGCAATGGATCTGAACCTCGCGAACGCTGCACTTCAATATAAACATCATGGATGATGCTAGCGAGAGGCAGAACGGATGGAAACAATAATGGAGCCTGCACGACGAGTGAAGACAAGCTATTTAAGTATTTGAGTGAATATCTAAGTATGAGACAACCCTCGCGTTTGTTGTCGTTATTGAAGCTCCTCCGGGTCAAGAAAGCTGGATTTTGTAACGAGATTGGGGGAGATGCCAAGAATAACAGTGGTGTCAAATGGGATGGTATCCTTTTAACAGCATGATAATTTTTTAAGAATACCAATAACAGAAAAAAGAGATGCTAAGAATGATTTAGGGAAAGAAAGCATCTCTATGTACCAAACACGTATGAAGTTTGCGTGAGGACTACCTTTGTTTGCTTTCACTATGAATGTAATAACTCCTGCCACCACAGAACCACAAATCAGCAGTAGGACGAACCCAACGGTGATAAAATTCATAATTCGACCTAAAATCTTTTCAAGGCATTTTTTCCGAGGTCAAACTTGTTATTTTGCAAAATTGCTTACCTACGCGTACTCCATTCCTAGTCTGTGCAACTAAACCACTTTCAGGTACATCTAATTCTCCATCAAAATCTAAATATGATTTACGAGACGGGTCTATGTAGTCATCTGGATTATCTCGCAACATGCCGGAATATTACAGGCTCCTCTGCACGTTCTTTCACTGAAACATTGTAAACTTATTTCCAACTTTGATGCTCCACATCGACATTCTTCCAAAATTGGTACTATGTGTGTGGCAGGAAAATAGGAATTTTAAATTAAAAATGTAATCTTATTATAATAGCTAATTTAAAATTGAGTATAGTGCTAGTTTATTAGTTGTAGCCAGCTTGGTTTT